CCGGTTCTTGAGTTATCGTCCTTCAAAATTTTTTAACAAATGCTCCTGCAGTTCCAGAACAAGGAACCAAACTCATGTCACTTCTTCCCTACCCCAAGAGCTATCTACCAACCAAAATTCGTGACCCTAGCATGTCCAGAACTTGAGATATCAAAATCGAAAGTTCAGCTGCAGTACATAGGAAAGCCGCCAGGGGGCCCAAAATCTAATCATTTCTAGGTCTCATAAAGACCTACCCACCTACCAAGTTTCATTCCGATCCATCCACTGCTTCTCGAGTTATCTTGCTAAACCACACACACACAACACACACACACACACACAAACGCTACTGAAAACATAACCTTCTTGGCGAAGGTAATAATTCCAAACTTTCCCTTCCGGTCTACCTTGAACAAACATTATGCGTAAGAAAATTAGTTTTATCTTTCAAACATAAAACGCCCTGTAACAAAGGAAGTATAGAAACCGGGAGATTCCCAAAAATTCTTATTGATCAGAGGGTTTGTCAATCTTATCCAAAACTATTGAGGACAAATATCACGTAACTCACTATACACAAGGTTATCGTATTCTATACCAGAATTTACCTCGATGGGCTTGAATAGCAAATTTAAGTACATAATGACATGTGATAACCCCTGCATGGTGTATATAAGAAATATGTTTAAGAATTTCTAGATATTAGAAATTCCTCTAATGATTATAAAAGCCCGTTATCATCCAATAATACTCACTTGCATTAGGTACATTAGTCTTATGTACGGTATTATGTATGGATGCCGTACCTTGTGCCTTGTATCGTTTTTCTCAAGCAGACGCTAGGGTGGGTCGTCTACCAGAACTAGATTCTCGTGGCCCATTGTTTAAGTATGCTGGTCGTTTTCAAATGTGTTCGCAGCTAAAAATATAGTTGTCTTGGTTGTATTTCTCTGTAATTGGGCATGTGGTGTGCCGTTATGTCCGTGTCGATGCACTTTGTTTTCTTTTTACCGTAGCAGTTTTTATATTTAAGTAAATGCATATTTTAGAAACACCCATATTTCTATAATCGTGTGGAATAGGCCAAAGGCGAGCTCCTGTATTGGCCATGGGCGAGCTGTTGTGAGCAGATATTGGGTGGTTTTTGTTGGCGAGTATCTGTTGGGATATTGTGACGTATAGTTTGCACTATATAATATAATATAATATAATACATGTATGTATTTGACCAGAGATTTTATTTTAGACATTTTTACGATACATTGTTACCAGTTGTGAAGTGCTCACACACTACTCTCCAAGCAGAGGTTTGGATTTTGGGGTATTTTTGGCGTGTTTTTAGGCCTTTACTTCAGAGTCTCAGACAAAATAGTTCCCGATGTCCAGAAAACGAAATATCAAAACCAGAAGCGCAGCTGCAGTATTTTAAAAAATCGCTGGGCCTATATTCTAGCACCTGCCTACATACCACAAATATATACAACTCAACTTCTCGAGGTTAACAAACAACCAAACAAACAAGCAAGCAAGCAAGCAAGCAAGCAAACAAACAAACAAACAAACAAACAAACAAACAAACAAACAAACAGACACACACAGATGTACACAATTAAATAGAATCTGTCCAAATGAGGAATTAACTTGTTTATTTAATAATGAGAAAATTCCATGATTCCAGTGGTTTATAAAGGCCCCCTTCACATTAATCCTGTGTATTCGGATTGAACCTTGAATCCACCGAAGCAGGTTCTGTGTACTCCATCTGAACGCTCCAAGTCACAATGAAACCGGCTCGATCCCAAACCACCTCCGTGAGGTACGGCCGTGTTCATGTGAAGTCACCCAAGGCGCTTTACAGTGTGGTTTACTCCGAAGCCGGTTTCAAGTGGCCCCATCTGAACGCTCCAAATCACATTCAAAGCGCCTCGATCCCAAGCCACTTCTAGAGGTGGTTTCGAATCGGTTTTCCCGCATCGCGATTTGCGCCAGAACGCAATGTGATTTCAATGTAACTTCGCCTGGTCATGGATTACGGGGTGATATTTCTTTATTTATATGCAATGCCATCTTTTACGTGGCAGCAACTTTAAGAGCAGCAATGGTCAAATAATGTGTCCGTTCTAGGGCGAGCTTCACCGCCTCTGGCGGGACCACGTCGGCATTCGGCCGAGATACGCTGGGAGGGGGGCACCAGCAAGCAGGTCGCTGACCTCTGACATTAATAACACGCTACCTTGCGTGTTTTCATCAAACAACAATAAATGTATCTCAGGCGAATTGTGATCGGACACGCTTTCAAAGGATTGTGTGGCACGTGAACCAGATGTGAGGAATGTGAGTTACCCGAATCGCGGTTTGGGTGACTTCACATAAACACGGCAATAAACACGGCCGTAGTTTCGAACCGGCTTCAGCGTATTGTGACTGCAGACTGAACGCGATGTGACTTCGCCGGGTTAACTTGTTTATTTAATAATGAGAAAATTCCATGATTCCAGTGGTTTATAAAGGCCCCCTTCACATTAATCCTGTGTATTCGGATTGAACCTTGAATCCACCGAAGCAGGTTCTGTGTACTCCATCTGAACGCTCCAAGTCACAATGAAACCGGCTCGATCCCAAACCACCTCCGTGAGGTACGGCCGTGTTCATGTGAAGTCACCCAAGGCGCTTTACATGTGGTTTACTCCGAAGCCGGTTTCAAGTGGCCCCATCTGAACGCTCCAAATCACATTCAAAGCGCCTCGATCCCAAGCCACTTCTAGAGGTGGTTTCGAATCGGTTTTCCCGCATCGCGATTTGCGCCTGAACGCAATGTGATTTCAATGTAACTTCGCCTGGTCATGGATTACGGGGTGATATTTCTTTATTTATATGCAATGCCATCTTTTACGTGGCAGCAACTTTAAGAGCAGTAATGGTCAAATAATGTGTCCGTTCTAGGGCGAGCTTCACCGCCTCTGGCGGGACCACGTCGGCATTCGGCCGAGATACGCTGGGAGGGGGGCACCAGCAAGCAGGTCGCTGACCTCTGACATTAATAACACGCTACCTTGAGTGTTTTCATCAAACAACAATAAATGTATCTCAGGCGAATTGTGATCGGACACGCTTTCAAAGGATTGTGTGGCACGTGAACCAGATGTGAGGAATGTGAGTTACCCGAATCGCGGTTTGGGTGACTTCACATAAACACGGCAATAAACACGGCCGTAGTTTCGAACCGGCTTCAGCGTATTGTGACTGCAGACTGAACGCGATGTGACTTCGCCGGGTTACTTTGCATATTGACCTGGTCATGTATTATGTGATATTTATTTACATTCTACACAAAAAGCCAAGAGCGGCAAGGCCACAGCAAGTAAATTTTATGGATGGCATCCTCTGCAGACTCCAAATTTAATGCAATAGGGCGAAAACAACAACGCAAGTACGAGTACAAAATACTTGATTCCGATTTTTTCAAATTTTCAGATGATAATCTGTATCGGTATAGCCGGTATAAACGCCCTTCAGCGTTACACACCACCAGCTTGATGAACAAGACTTTCGGCAATAAAACACGATATCACAACCGACAGGTTTTCTATTCCTGAATTCAAGAGATTTACCGGGCCTTGTACACGCGTATACACCTCAATTACATGTAACTAGAACAATTGTAGAAAAGAGCTTGTTGTACCATCATGCGCAGCCATGGCAGTTACTACACTTAACTTTACTGGGTGTCCTTGTGCAATGGAACACCTTCGACTGTCAGCACTTGCCATCACCTGACCACGAGCAATTGTGCCTAAAGTTTGCTAGATCCTTGATGGTCCTTGCCTACCATAACCCAAGCATCAATCTGTGACCCATAAACTGAACTGTCCGGATCTACATGTACCGTACGACCTGCCTAGTAAACTAGTATATGTGTTCATTCTGACGTATCCAAAATACGTTTATTTAATGATATTCTACGTATTTTGTGCCGACTATTACAGTCACTAAAACAACTGATAGGTTCTGTCCATTTTCAGCCTGTTGGCCACCGTTGGAAGACAACGAAATTTCTTTTTTTTTTACTGAAAAACGTCTAAACGCCTTCATTCTAGGACAAACTCCATCGGGTCTGGGGAGACCACGCCGGCATTCGGCCGAGGTACCTATACTAGGCTAAAGCGTTGTAGCTAGCGAAGCTGGGAGGGGGCAACGCACCAGCAGGTCGGTCTGACATTGGCACGGCGACAACTTACGTCTTTTGATCAAACTATCAAGGATTCCAGCTTGACCGACACGGTGCGGCACGCGGACCACGTGTGGGGTAAGCGACGTGAATCGCGGTTTTATCGTCTTCATGTCAAGACGGCCAAAATGGGACATGAAACACGTGTAATTAAAAAAAAATGGTCCCGTTCCACTCTATTGCAGAGCATAGGGGTGGTGCTCATCTCCATTTCTGTAGCCCTTGGGCGACACACAGTACGTGTAATTAATGGCAGGTAAAAATTAAAAGCTACCGATTATGCAGCTTGAGGTCTAATTTGCCTAATCAATACAAATATATGCCTTTATGTTGTTGTTACCTCCTTTAAAGGATGTGGAGGTTATATTTTTAGTTGCGTTTGTCATTCTGTCTGTCATTCTGTTGGTCAACAAGGTAACTCACGAACGGCTGGATGGATGGTTTCATACTTGGCACATTGATACCTGACACCTGATATACGATTACCTTTTGGATCCAAAACACTCTATAGCAGAGCACAGATGAATTGTCAAGCCTTGCTCACTTTCCCACGCTACTGCGGCGGTCGCCCTTAGTTCACCTGAGATATTTGACTGAGTCTACTCTCCAATAGTCTTACTCTTTCTTGTTGAGGACATGGTACGCTGGCCGTCACAGGCGTTCCGACAGGATGTTTACATGCTCGTTTAGAGGATCGCCCATATGAATGGCCATTAACAGGGTTTAGAAGGGAAGACTTAAGCCACTTGCTGCTTTGTAGCAGGCCTGGGGGGCTACTGCAGATCTCGGCTGCTTGCCAAATCTGATTCAGCTGCCGGAAACTTTATGGCTTCTGACAAAGCGGTCAGAGCTCCGTGTGTTGAGGTCTTGGGATCTCCGCTTTCCCTGGAAGGTTTTCAGTGTGGACGTGGGGTCAGCAGCGGGGGCAGGTGGGACAAGTGTTTCAAAACCTTTACATTATGCAAAAAAAGCCATCGCAGTCATGTCACGTATTATGTACATAGAAGCTTATCGGGTACTATATGAGGAAATGATGCGAAAGGACACATTACAGCAGCGAATGGGAGGACATTGTTCATATCAGAATTACAGATTCATGTACCTTAAGTGTGTCCCAAGGGCCAGTTCTATGTTACCATTCTCGGAGCCCAACCCGTGATGTAATCAGTTACCTCTCCACTCCCACAAATACCAACAGGCTGCATATTTTGGCGCCTTTCCCCGTGGAAATGTTGAACGGTTGAAACGTAACAACAAAGTGTGACAGCGGCACGCGGACACATTATATCCAACGTACCCGATCCCAGGACGTGCTAAACAGCATGTTTTCTCTGTTCTCAGATATGCTGCAGGGAAGGGGCCCGGTCAGGCTGTTGACGCTGGCCTTTTACATGCTACATGTGGTCGGCCACGTGAACCCAACTTCAACTCATGTCAAATATCAGCAGCGGAAGGCCCAAAGTGAACGTGCAGCTGGCGAACTCATGAAGCGGAGTCAGCAAACTTGTACTTCACTGGACAAGTCCGTTCATCCCGACCATCCCCACCTGCGGCACCCCCGTGCTCTTTCTGCGGGAGACAAGTTCGGCAAGGCGCTGTACTTCAGTGGGAACGAGGTACTGAAGTTCAAGGATCCCAACAGCGTGAATGAGTACTCAATGGTCCCCCGTGAGGCTTTCACGGTGGAGGCTTGGGTGAAACCAGAGGGAGGCCAGGACAACCCCGCCGTCATCATCGGTGAGTCTAGCTGCCTTCAGTCGTCATGACGCATCATTCTAGACTAGATCAAACCTATAGAAGCTAATGTTTAGCTGAGGTTCCTCAACACGTCACAGATGGCTGCCAAATCACTAGATTTTGAGGTAGCAATAAATTCTCAGAACTTTTGTCGATCAGGACAATGCACTTGGTGATAGAAAAAACACGAGGGTCTTAAGACTATACTATTCAAATACTTAAATTGGGAGTATTTGCTTGACACAAAATCGAAAAGAACGTTTCTTTCGCTGTCATACATGGAACAATCCACAAGAAAATGTACCTCGTCTTCTACTTTACCTAAACTACAATATTGGCAGATTCTTTGCTCTAGAGGAGTGCGGTTATGTCTTCCTGATTCAATTATAAATGGTTTATTGGTCAAACATTACCCGTGCAATCACAGCCTTTTATAGCGCTGGATATCACATAATACACATGATACATATAACATATTTGCTCCACACACACTTTTGCGCCACCAGGTGACCTCAATACTACTTTTTCCATACGTAATTCACACCTAGGTTAAGTGAGGAAAGTCGTGTAAAGTGCCTTTCCGAAGGGCACAACATCGGGCGCATGTCCAGACATGTCCCGGGTACAACTCGGGATCGAACCCCGGTCTCGCCGTTTTATAGTCGAACGCTCTACCACTACGCCACCCGACGCCACCATTAGTAAGATTTTATTGTAGTTTTAGTTCGATACTATGGCAATTCGACGACTGCATTATCTAATATCAGTAACTCAGTGTGACCTTGCCACAACGAAAAGTATTAACAATTACGGCCTGATAATAATGCGTACCGAAGTGATAATACTGAGGAATATAAAAGTTATTTCTTTTACAGAACGATGAGATCAACTATTTCTCGTTGAATGCATGAAAATGTCGTGCAAGTCAACCAGCGGTGCACGATCAAACGCAGACATGGCGAAAAAGTCCACTGTACATATTAAAGGCGCTTGATCTGCACTAGAAAAATATGATGCAAATGTGATATAACGTTTTATAACCGGCCCCGTCCAAGCGTAAGATTTGAGAATATCAAACGAGGCACTTTGCGGTAGACGCTTGGCACTACCTGCTTATGTTTGGCGGCGGAGTGCGTAAATTCTGTCGCCTTCAGCCAGTTGTTATGAGACATGAAGACATTTCAATAATCAAGCCCGAAAATTTGACAGTGACGGTCCAAATCTTCCAAAATCCACGTCGTGTCATACTCAGCCTGGCAATGGTACTACGGGTATATTACTTAGCTTTCAGTTGTTATGTTGGTCCTTTTAGCTACAGGCTCAATTTGAAGCTTACTCCTTTGGTTATTACACGATGGAATTCTATGGCGAAATTTGGGTGACGTGTTTATTACCTGAATCTTTCAACAATCACGAAGGGAATCCGTTTTGCGCAGTACTTGAATTGTGGGAAAGTGTCGACGGTTCCTTGCCCGGGGCGCCTGTACTAATGTTTGCCTGTACTAATTGCAAGTTAAGTATGTAGTAGTAGTAGTAGTAGCAGGTTATGCACCCTACAGTTGCTATGTCAAGCCCCTTCCCATGCAAATTTTCCACTTCGTTTCCAGTCCTTAGTGATCCTTTATTTCGTAGAGAGCTTCAAGTGGCCTAAGTGATGCCACTGTTTTGTCAACACGGCCTCCGACATGGGTCTTAATTCCGCTGAGTCAATTTAAAGACGAGCCTTAGTTCTGCAGTTAAAGCTGCCAATCCTTGCTTAAACTTTTTCTGACCCCCTGGGCCCTTACCACGCCATAATCCTCCAAATCCGTCAGCCACCTAAGAAAAAGATAACGTCTGACATGAATGTTATTCCTCGGAGTGAACCATGGGGGATTGCCTATCGCAAACAAACACATGCCAAACCACCGACAACACGTTAAAGTTTCCATTAGGATCAACTGTGGCAACGCACCAGCGCTTTGTCCTTGTGAGGACCCAGCGAAGTGGGTCTCCGACGCTGTGAATATACTTACATGACGGTAGAAAGGTTTTATTTTCAGTTGATCTGTCGGTGGATAGTATTCAGTACTTTAATATTTCGATCCAGATGTTAAGTCCGGAGAACGGCGTGAATTGATCAAGGCTGAGGGGACGTCATTTATGACAAATTACACTTGGCGAATCCGAGACAGTAATTCTCAGAACCTCTGAATCATTTGATAAATACGACTGAATGGAACAAACGCCGACTCCTCTCCCCTGCTTAGTGTTAAAGTTTCCACTCATTCCCTCTCTCTATCGCTGGTGCCAAATCCACTTGACTCGCTGACCGAATTCTTGTGTGGCAGGCAAAAGATCTTACGTTGGCGACTTTACCACACATATAGAAGATCATACGAGCATGAAACCACTTGGTTCCACTTGACAGACTGCCATGGTTTTCGTTACGCTATGTTAAGTGCTGCTACCTCTCTTTACCCGTGCTTTCACAGTAGTCATCCAGAACATCCACGGTGTGATAAAAATAGCCCCCGGGTCGGCAGTGACATAGAGGTAAAATCGGGGTTTTCTAAATATAACTTGTTTTCTTGGTACCTATTTTAACAGGCAGATTAATTGGATATGGTTAGGATTAGATTAGTCCTGGTTCGCGGGCTAAAGCCTCAGAGCAAGTCGCTCCAGTACAACAGGCCGCTGTCTATTTCCGTTCCCTTTGTAGAACTGTCTATTGCACTAAACAGTCTTTCCCAACTTATGACAGGATTCAAAATTGTTTAAATAGTCTTTCTTTAGTTTAAGCTTAATTCCAACTCAAGTTTCTTTGTTTCATTGGCCCTTCAGGTGATCAGAATGTCAGAAGCCGGTTTGTGTTGATATTTCAGCATTGAACTGTCCACTTTGAAAAAAAAGAGGTACCAAAGAAGGGATTCACTTGTCTTAAAACTGCACTGGAAACCATTCTACATATGGACAAAGGAAGTGTGACCAGGCGTCATTACGTTTGTATGTTGTTGCCCACATGAAATCGGAGGTATGTCTGTGTGTTACCCCTATTCAGGAATATATCGTTTTAGTACAAAATTACTTCTACACATGAAATGGAGATCTTCATTATTAGCCCATTTTCCAACATTGAATATTTGAAAATGTTCCCATTTAAAGAACGGACAAGAATTCGGAGATCTCATACCTCAATGAAATATGTAGAGTTTACGTAAAATTGTTATTGGGGGGATTTGTCTCATTGTATATGGAAGTAAGGTCGTAATTAACAGTTTAATTTATGGTTTTCTAAACTCACACTTACAATATTTTGCGTGATAAATTCCTATCCTTTGGCAATATTTCATTTCAACATGTGCTAATTAATTATGCAAATGACCTTTACATTAACATAATATATGCATAGTGATGTTAACCTTTAAGAGTCATTGCACGAGAAAACCTGGCAAAACCAGGCAGAGGTCGGAAGATGGGGGTCAGCCAAATCGACTCATACTTTGTATGTGAGATAGGTATGGGGAACTATGAACAGCCATATATTTAAAACCCTCCAGATATTTTTCATTATGGAGATCTGGGACCCCCCTCCGAGAGCCTCCAAAATCAGGTAACATATGGCTGAAAATTACTGAACTTACGATGGCTGCACTGATGATTCTGATACAGATATGGATAAAACGTTTATATTACCACATAGCATAGCTTTTCTAGTTTTACAGACCCAAAGTTCAAGAGGACACATTGAAGCTATGAGGGTGTGACGTTACCGGAACCAATGACAGCAGAATTTTCATATCCATGCATTTTAGTCATCTTTAAGGCTCATTATCTCATACGGGCAGTGGCTTTGGTGAATGGTTTTACTGTGATTTGAGAGAAGAACATCTACGGATTCAAAAACAAGCGTCGTTGGATTGGGCCATACATAACGCGAGCCGTGACTGAGGGGTCTTTATGGGGGATTTTCGGGTTTTGGACTATACTAAATCGGGCAATGACTTCTCCATACTGGGTACGTTAGGGCCAATGTGGGAATGTTGATGTGTGATAATCATTAGACAATTATCGAAGAAGCTTTAATGAATTAGGAATGTTGATTTGGGCTCTATATGGGGGATATGGGGATACCTGTAAATGGGACTAGGCTGATTTTACACATTTTATTGTTCTTCTCTTAGCTGTAGATAGCAAATAAGTTCCTTACTAAAATATTGTGTGCATCAAATTTGTGGTAGATATCAAAAGGATCTACATGGGGGTTATGAGGACTCCAGAAATGGAAATTCCGTTAAATACAGTTGCCAGCAGACCTCTGCGCTACTAGTAAGTTATACATATTGCCACTTACTAAATCTTAAAGGATTCTGACAGAAGAAGAGGACTAGATACATATGAGCAAGACCATAGCAAAAACAATGTTTGAATGATATTATCAGTCACATGTGCGTTCACATTAACTATGCAAATTAGGTCATTATTTGCATAATTGGTATCTGTTGATGTTTCACCTGCCATATATTAGGTGTTGTCATGTAAAACACTGTAACTGCCGAATTTCCTACTTAATTATGCAAATTTAGCCTTCATTTGCATAATTTGCATTTAATTGTGTACAAGGCTCTATAAGCTACCATTGCACCAAAAATGATGAAACTACATTGTTCCTTTCTTGACTTATCCGCTTTAAAAGTTTTTACCAGAAACTAACCTGCAGTTTCAGATCAAGCTGCTAGGGGGACAAAACATACACCTTTATTCGTGACAGGAAAAGGTATCGGTCACCAAAAATCCACGACCATAGCATGTTCAGGACAAAAGATAAAAAAACCGGAAGTTCTATTGCAGTACCAAGGTCAGCCAACAGGAGGCCAATATTTGACCTTGACCTTTGTCTTCCTAAGACCTACCAACTACTAAATATCATCACAATCCATAAAGGCGTTATGAAGTTATGCTTACTACAAATGTACGGAAACACAAACACACACACACACACACACACACACACACAGACA